CCCCAAAACCCCAAAACCCCAAAACCCCTTAAGTTTATATTAAATTTAAATACGATTAAATAAAAATCTAAAATAAAAAATCTCATAATTTAGGTTTAATTACAAGTAATTTCTTAAGTGGTTTTTGAATAATTCTTTGGTTCCATTTAAGCTATTTATGAAGTTTTCTACTCCAAATCTAATCTGAATTAACTGATCGCCACTTAATAACTAGGTGATTTCATTTAAATATAATTTTATTGTTACATGGAATGTCCTGATTTGATTTCCTTATCAAAATGAAATCCTCAGGGTTTAAGTCAATTTTTGTGTGACCATCTATAGTTACTTTCGCTGAAGTTCTAGAGGAATCTGGAATTTTGATTTTAACTTCCTCATTCGCGGGTAAAATTACTAAAAAGGTAATGCAAAAGATTAATACTTACCAGGTCTAAATGATAGCGAATGAGGGGCTATTGGAGTTAGACAAAGAATTTGAGCATTTTAGTGAACAATTGGTCCTCCACAAGATAAATTATAGGCAGTGCTTCCTGTAGGAGTAGCTATAAGTACTCTAAATGTAATGATTATATAGAAATTACCCATCACCCTAAACTACAGTGAGCAATACATTATTTATGTAGACTTCCACTTGAAGCATGTTCTCTTAATTCCTCATTATTGTAATCTCGTTAAGTGCTAGTAATTGAATCTCATTTTGATTTGTTGTTGGATTGTTTTAAGTGCTTGGTTAATTTCCTTTTTGTATCACAGTCTTTATTTCTAATTCTTCGACATTATTCTTTATTATATTAAGTTAGAGTCTCATTCTAGGATCAATCTCAATTTCATTGTTATTAATCTTAAATATTGCAGAGTCAATTACTTTATTGAATTCCTTGATATCAAAATAGCTTAGATAATTCAAGCTCCCCTAAATTTATTATATAAGCAAGTAATTACCATAGAAAATGTGATAATTGGAGGAAGGTTTCTGTATTTTTCATATTCTCTAATTTGTTATAGTAATCTCAGAATAGTTCCGTCACCTCCAATTGTAATTATGTAATCGAAATGCACTTCCCTATTTATTTAGTCTGAAAATCGTCTCTGTTGATCTAATTCTACATCTGAAAGCACCTCTCCTGTGAAATAATCTAATTCCCAAACTTCTAATTGAATCATGCTCTAATTAAACAACTTCTGAGGAAGTTTCTTAATCACCCATTATTCTAAATAAATTTTGGACACAACTTTGCATTTCTGCTCTATTTGCTTGTCTAGAATGTACTCAACGCCTCGAACTAGAGATTCTATTATATTTTCATCTTCAACCTTCTTCAAGAAAAATAGTAGATTGATATGCATATTCTATAGATCTAATTCATCGACATGCTCAGGAGTATAGTCAATAAGATGTTTATCCTCATTCAAAACAGAGTCAGCTTTCAATGGCTTATTTGGATTATTTAATTTATTTGAATTAGTTTTTTCCATTAAATAAATTAATAATATAGAAAATTAACACACAAGATTAAGATTATCACAGAATAGAGCATTTAGTACTGAACCATCTACCTTTTTTATTTTTATTCTGGTTTTTTTCTCCAAATGCCTACCCTAATTTAATATTACCTCGAGCTGATGCATTACTAGTCTAGCTTCTATTATGGCCTTATGATCTATTCTATCCACCTCCTGATCCATTTGCTGATTAATTATTCCAGGAGGCTAAACTCGTACTAATACTCTGCTGTTTTATGTCCTAAATACTTTAAATAGGTGCATGCCCTTCTTATTTATGCATATCCTTAGAAAAGAACTTTATAGCTAAAAACTCAAAAAGTTCAGTGATCATTATATTATCTTTTGAACATATTCTCATTAATGGCATTTAAAGCTTTTTAGCAAGTTAATTTACCTCTTTTTCTGTCATAACTGCATTATCTATCAAATCAATTTTAGTTTAAACCATTATCATTGGGATGTCCCCACACTCATCTTCTACAGCGTTTTTCCACTTTTCAACATGATCAAAGCTATCTCGGTCAGTAGTTGAGAAAGCTAATATACAAGCAGATGCTCCTTTATAATATCTTCTAGTAAGGGAGTTGAATTCTTCTTAACCAGCCGTGTCCCAAATATAGAATTCAACTTCCTCCCCAATATCTTTAATAAAATGCTTTTTCTATAAAAAATCAACTCCGAGTGTTTTCTTATATTCTTCTAGAAAAACATTTCTAACAAACCTTGTAATAAGGCAAGTTTTCCCAATCTAAACAATTAAAGTCTAAAATAATTACTCTTCCGTCACCAACAACGATGACTTTCATCATTAAGTCTAGATCTTCCATTAATATTTATTTAAATTTTAAGTCAAATAAATCAATAAAAAAGAATCTCGGGGTTTTGGGGTTTTGGGGTTTTGGGGTTTTGGGG